CTGCCAATGATGCACCACCTCCTACATGTGTTATCCTAATAACAGAAACTGTTTGGTAAAGTTGAAACTTAATACAAATACAACTTTTTGGTTAATTTATTTAGGTGTGATAATAATGAGAACATTCTAAAACAAATGGAATGCTTTATTTGAAATCCTGGTTCGATCAGAATTGAGCTACAATGCTAAATGTCATTAAAGTGTGTCAATTCACTTTTCATTCAAGTAAATTCAGGTACATTAATGTACAATAACTGCAATAAAACAGTACACTAAACTACTTTGACTGCTTCAAACCTGGTTTGATCTGTGTGACTCAACAAAGACTAAAATACCTTCTTTAGTGAAGTTTAAACCAATGATCTATTTTGAGAGGAAATAACAAAAAAGCAAAATAAAGAAACATTTGTTTCCTAGATTATCAGTCGTCCATGATTTGTGTCAGAAATTCTCCACAGTGATTGGTGTCAAAACTTGAAGGAGCTACAGTAAGATTCAAACATCTTGAGGCGTGAGCAGCAGCACTTTCAAAGAAAACTCTGCCTATTATAAACACTTTATATCCAGCGGGACTGTAGCATATAGCTGACAGGTATTCATCTAAAATTAGGTTGAATAGGCATACATCAAATAAAATGAAACTTAGATTCCCACTGGGTTATATTGAAAGCACACCATTATCTTCATGGTTGGTGGTAATATGGATCACAGTGTCATATATGTAATCAAGTAGTCCACTTATTGGCTGTAACTAGGCTACCATTTAATTGAGCACCACTTACTCTTCATCACGCTCTTCATCATCTTGCATTACTGCCAGGGTATTGTAACTAGACTGAAATTAATGAGTTGTTACAAAGAGATCTTCCTCTGTATGGCGTACATTACCAGAACTGGCTGATGGTGCAGCTCCTGTTTGTATCATTTTATGAAGCATACTGTGTGGCACCCTGAGGACTTTACATCAGTTGTGCAGAGTGTGGCATACTTTATATTTAACCTTGTTTATATTTGGGTAAGTACATTTACTACAGTAAAGCTTTCAGGCTGCTTATTCTTTTTATTTACTTTATATAAAATACAAACGTAATTAATTGAAAGTCCTACCCCCTGCCTAAGTCTATATGTCCCCCCTCTAGTAATTCTTTATTTTTTAAATTTATTTTGTCTTTATTATTTGTGTTTTTATTCGTTATTATTTTATTTTTGGTGTTTTTTGCTCTTTATCATGGGAAATGTATCAGGATGTGTAAGCGATACAATGATGTGACCAATTTTCCAGTTCTTGTGAGGGTGGGGGGATTATGTTTGTTTTCTCATATAAAGAGAGGTATGTGCAATTTCCTGTAATAAGAAAACCAAAACCAGGAAATGTGAAAAATTGTTGTATTGTCTGTTAAATCTGCACTCCTAAATAAAGAAACAAAAAAATACAAACGGTACTTTATATTAAGTATTTACTTATACTATACTACTACTTATTCTTACTCCACAACAATCTAGAAGTAAATATTATACTTTGTAATTTCACTGTATTTGTTTCTAACTTTAGTCAATAGTTCAGTTTAGATAAAGTACTCAAAATATCATCAGCAAATAGGTTCAGATATTATGATGTCAAATCTTTATAGGATTCCCAGGGGTGAAATCCATAAGCTATCCATCTGAATAAGCTTATTTAGGCCTAAATACAAATATCTAGGAAATCAGATACTCTAAAACATTGCTTCTTAACCCTTTCATGCATGAATTATGAAAACCTCAGTCAGGATTGACAAGTGGTATTATTGCTCTTAGGGCATGAAAAACAAGATTTGAACTTTAGTTTTTTTTTATCTAGTTTTTTCAAATAGATGTTTAAGTCCACTCAGGTGGACAGTATGCGTTCAGGGTTTGAACGGAAGAGATGTACATTTTGAAAAAATGATAAATAAAGATGTGCAAACTTAAAATTACATCATAATAACATAAGTATATTGATTTACGGCCCAAAA